GAATAAATCGCCGGGGGCGATTAAATACCTGGATTACGCATTGAGTGTTTACTTATATTTTACATATTATTGCTACATGCAATAAGTAATGGATTAATTAATTAAATCTGATAATTGCTCGGACGTTACAACTGGTGGCAGCCAGTGGGATATTATAATTCCAATGGGATTTAACAATTCCGGTGTGATTTATTTTTGTGATAATTCAGTGAATATCTCAATATCCTTCATCAACAGAATAATTTTAGACTATCAATCTTAAAAATCAAACTGAATTTTTTTCCCTAATTTTTCCTATGATACTTAGCTTAAATCAGATGAGGACCCGATAATACATAAGATTAGCTTACTAAATTGTACGTAATCATGGTAATGGCAAAAGCTTTTAAAGTGACTCTGAGAAACCTGTATTTTACAGTTCTATCAAGTAAAATTCTACAGAAAACTTTTTTCAAAGGAAAACATTAATTAATAAATTCTGAATTCTTTATCCTTTTTACCAGTGGAAGAATCTTCAAGGAATGAAATAGCATCACTTGTGCTTGAGCATGGATGCAGTGTAAACAAGCTAAATGGATATGGACTAACACCACTATCAAATATGGTGAAAGGGATGGCGGAGAATACAGAATTTATGATAACTGGTCAGACCGAAACGGTGGCTGTTGCAGAAATTGACCTCTCAATGTTTAATAAATTAATTTGTGGTGGATCTATAATGGAGCCTGCTATACAATCAACATCGTTATTAGTAGAATTTTGTATCTATATTAATTCATTATTATCATCCTCGTCAAAGAGATAAAGTTTTTAGAAATATGGAGTAATTCTTTTTGACAAACTTCTTTAGTGAAAGAAAAAACTATGCTAAGAGATATTAAAATTGTTGTATTTTATAAACTACTACAGGAAATCGATACTGGCTACCTTATTGAAAAGAGGTTTCTTTGGGGCTGCAACTACCTTGCTAAAATGTGGATATAACTTCAGCCTTGATAAAGACTTTAAATCCATGGACGTTTGTCATTTGAAAAGTTCAACAATTTTAGTAGGGGGCAGAAGATACAAAAGAATTGACTATGATGAACAGAAAAATGAATTTTTAAATTTTCTGAAGAAATCTGAAGAAGAAGAAGAGGTATCCTCGCTGTCATCTTTGTGCAGAAATACCATACGATCACATTTAGTTGATGTCAGACAAGGAGCCGAGATAGAATCTAAGATCATGTTACTTCCTATTCCTGGACGAATTAAGACGTATTTATCTTTAAGGGAACATGTGCAAGACTTTGAACAAATGCAGATAGAAGAAATTAAAATGTAATAAAGTATACCTCCCAAATTTTACTTTGGACAGAGCGGAATGGTTGTTCTGTTTTGTTTTTTGTTTGTTTAATTTTTTTGTTTTTTTTTTGTTGGTTTTTTTTTTTTTTTTTTTTTTTTCAACATTTGTCCGAATAAAATAACAAGTAACAATCTAAATTAAATAGTTAAAATTTGTAAATTATTTAGAACTCGCCAAGTTCAGTATTTTTATTTTTCGTTTAATAATAGAAAAGTTTTTGTGGTGTAAATTATGCTCATGAGTCTGGGATATGTGAAGTTAAAATGAAAGTAGGAAATAATTAAGGGTGGGATTGGAGAGGGGATAGATCAATGAGGGAAAGATGAATCTAATAAGCAATGTGAGAAGAAAACGAAAACAAAATGAAGAAGGGAAAATGAGAAGGATTGAAGATGAAATTTTTATTTAAAAAAAGTGAATCAATAAGAATTAAAATGTTTAAGGGGATAGAAGGGGAAATAAAGTGGGGTGGGGTTTTGTGTGCCTCTCTTAAATCTAATTCTGCAAAAATGCATTGAACAAATTAATTTTAAATGTATCAAAAATGTGTTCAGAAATATAGAAAGCGTTCATGAAATATATATAAAACAAGAACATCTGATATAATTCAAAATCAAGCAAATATGTTTTTGAATCACTGAAGGGAAGGGAGGCTTGACATTTAATTAATCGTTTACCAATTCCTAAAGTATATCTTAACTGTTAACTTATAGCTCTTGATTTGTTGGGAATTTTTTTTCTAGTAATGATTGCCGAAAATTTAATTTGTTTCAACGATTTTTTTCTCCTTTCTTTTATCCATTCATTACTCTAACACCCATGCTCTACTAACAAATATTTCTTAGCATATTTAACATTTTATTAACAAATAGAATAAATGGTCTATATTAAATTTTTCTTAAGCGGTGGAATGGGTGTGAACATACCAACACACTTGGATGACTACAATGATATGTACATACACCCATACGACTCAGATAACTCAGATGTGGCGTATTATGGTATGGATGATTCTGACATTGACAATTACATCCATTACTACAGAGACAGTGATTCAGATGACTATTTCTATTAACCAGCAGTATAATAAGTACAGATGTTTTTATATCTTCAAATAATTTAGATTTGTTGTCATTGAATGTCTTTCTATTTTTAATTCAGCGAAGATTCGCATTTATTGACTTTTATAAACTTTTTTCATTGTAATGCATTGTTTTCATTCTTTTTATCTTTCATTTACTGGTCTAGAGTAATTTTTCTTTGGACTGATGTTAAAACAAATGATTGCTTAATGATAAGACAAATAAGTTTTTTTTACTATACAAGGGTTGTCCAAAAAGTTCGAGGAAAAAAACTTTAATTTTTCTTAATAAAGTCCTCACTGGTATCCCTGTATAAACGCACATGTACGATCATATTTTAAATAATAAATATAGACCATGATTTAGCAGAATTTAAAAGGCGAAATTTATTTTACGAATGTTCTAGGGTCAAATACTTTGTATATGAAAGTCGTATGGCCCAGTCTGACGTAAAGCTAATTTCATGATAATGTCAAAAAAAATTGATTTTGATTTTTTTTTTACACATGTCAATGCTTACACCTAACCCTAACCCCTGACCCCTAACCTTAACCCCATTATGCCATATTGCTAAGTGTGTGCAGTAATATTTATTTATAGAACGTTATTTATTTATCTTTTATGAATTCAAAACAATGCACAATAAATTAAAAGAGTCATTAATATAGATGCTCCGCACACACAAGCTGCACAGTTCAATCTGACATTGAGCTAGATTTCTAACAACGACTTGAATATGGATATTTTATTTTCATAAAAAACAGTGTTTTTCCACTTTTTAGATTCTCAGATATAATTTTAAAAACTTAAAGGAATCGTTCAGAGCAACTTTAAATGAATGAATTATATATATTCTAATGATTTTAAAATGTTTGAAAAAATTGTCTCTGGCGTCGTTTAAATATTATGATAGCTTGGTGTTCCTTTCGCAAGACGCTTTTTTTTGAAAACATTTTTCATTCATTCGGATTTTACTAAAATTAATATAAATATCACTATGTGTACAATACGCAATATAGGACTTTTACGAGAAGCGCTGAAATTTACAGTTGACGGCTTACTTTTACACTAGGTCGGTACGGTAGCTCATTTACAATATCCAAATTTAGCTCAACATTTAATTAAACGAAATTAACGGGTTAATTCAACGACATATAAGTTGTCCTTGAAGAAAACGACAACCACCTTAACCTCAACTCCCAGCCTTAGCATGTAAGTGCCCCTAACACCATACTTATGACCACTAGAAATGGTTTTTTGTGTACTATCAATTCTGTACTTCCGTACACGATACAAGTTTAAATGTCCAAGTAATCGTCAACTGTAGAAGTCAGTGCTTCTCGTAAAAGTCCACTAGTTGCAAAAGATATCAGAAAATGACGATTATAGCCGCTATGTTTCCAACGCATTTTATTTTTATGAAGCTTTGGTCAAGTTTGTTAAGAAAAAATTATTGCATTTTAACCCTGGGCTATACGCAGTATCTGCGTCCTTGAAAGCCGACATTAAAAATATTAAGTTCAAACATTAAAGACCAAACTATTTATAAAAACTATTTTGATTAACATGAGTATATCCAGATCCATTCAGTTGACCAAAACGTCATTGTCAACGAACTTTATGAACAACCTTTGTATTTTGTGTAATTCTATCATGTATTTTATGTTGCATTGTACATCTTGAATAAAACGTTAACTAAGTATATTATCGTTTGTTTGTTTTTTTTATCGAATTCAGCTACTTTTATTCTTCAAAATTATAAATTTCAAAAAAATGACTATTGGAAGGGGTGAGGTAAGCAAATACGACTTTTGATTATCATTATAATAAGGTTTATTGCAAAAATTTTCATTTTAGTGTACAAAGTAAAACTTTCACAGATAACTGACATTTTGAGCTACATAATAGGTAGATACTTTTCGAGAATTTGAGGGTGGCAGTAAAATTAGTTTACTTTTGATTTCAGTCTCACTTACACAAAAGGAATTTAAAGCGGTAATACGGCTGCAAATCGTGTGCTTTTTCATTCAAATTTACCCAATATATCATTCAGGAGTAAGGTAAAAAGTTGAAGTAAGCATTTGAGAAAAGTAAACATTCTCTCCTCATGTAAAATTAACGTAATTAAAATCTGCCGGAAAATCAAGGGTCGTACAACTTAGTTCTGATTATTTGTACCACGTGAATTCTAAAATGGCACGTGCATACAATGTAGGGTTTACAATTATAATGCAATATTAAGTAAAAGCAATTCTGAGAATCAAATTATCTTAACTCTCCGGTAAATTAATAATTGTTAACATATTAGTATGCATTCAGACGAATTTAATATGATTAAGTACAAATGTTGACGTTTTGTGTATTGGGGTACAGGAAAGGAAAATCCACCAAATCATACGTCATCGTGGCAAAATGTCAAACAAAATATCTTTCTGCAGTTCCAATACAATTTGCCTTTCAAATGGCAATAATTTTTATATGTCATAAGTGCATTTTTACGTTGAGTTTGAAAGCCATGGAGACACGAGAAATAATAGCATGTATCAACAAACCTGTAGGGTAGAACCTTTGCGAGCCCCACGTGAATGTCGCGGAGATCCCGTTTCTTCTTCATCCAATGATTATATTAATCTCCCAAATAAATTTTTGTCAGGAAAGTTGCTTTTTAATTTCAAGCCCTATTTTTGGTTTTGTTTTTCGTTTTGGTCGACTTTGTCAATGTAGCAGGCCTACCGGGCTTCCCTCTCTTACCATGCTGTTTTGTTTATGAAAACTATACGCATGCGTGAATAGCATGGAATGTGGAACCTCGAACATGTTGCGATGTATATATTTATGGGCCATAAATAATTATTAATTTTAATGAAATAATCAGAATTATTATACCCGCACTTTCTAAAGAAAGTTCGGGTATATTGTTGTTACTCATGTCCGTCCGTCCGTCTGTCACACTTTTCTTCCCTGAACTCCTCCTATATTTTACACAGTAGCCTAATCATATTTTGGGAGATGGTTGGTGGTGTCATGAAGATGTGCAGTTAAGTTTCGGAATTTTGATTTTGCCCCGGGGGGTCAAATGGGGGTCGAAAAATGACGTTTTTTATGCAAAAAGCCCCGTCCTCCCTGAACTCCTCCTACATTTTACACAGTAGCCTAATCATCTTTAGGGAGATGGTTGGTGGTGACATGTAGATGTGCAGTTAAGTTTCGAAATTTTGATTTTGCCCCGGGGGGTCAAATGGGGGTCGAAAAATGACGTTTTTTAAGCAAAAAAGCCCCGTCTTCCCTGAACTCCTCCTACATTCTACACAGTAGTCTAATCTTCTTTTGGGAGATGGTTGATGATGTCATGTAGATGTGCAGTTAAGTTTCGGAATTTTGATTTTGCCCCAGGGGGTTAAATGGGGGTCGAAAAATGACGTTTTTTAAGCAAAAAGCCACGTCTTCCCTGAACTCCTCCTACATTTTACATAGTATCCTAATCATCTTTTGGGAGATGGTTGGTGGTGTCATGTAGATGTGCAATAAGTTTTCGGAATTTTAATTTTGCCCTGGGAGGTGGAATGGGGGTGGTAAATTTACGTTTTTTAAGCAAAAAGCCCTGTATTCCGTAAGTCCTCCTTAATATTACTCAGAAGCCTAATTATCTTTCAGGAGAGTTAAATATTTTGAAAATTAGGTAAAGCATCGACGTCAAGGGGTAAAAAAGCATTGATGCTGGGAATCATCTTGAATTCTTATGAGTAATTAATGTACATGTCAAATATGTGAGAGTCATATCTCTTCTCAATCAAAAGTTATAAGCAAATGCAACATTTTTGAAAAGTAGGTTAGGCTTCAAGGTCAAGGTCACAGAGTTAAAAGTCATGATTTATTTGGAAAGGTCTTATCACAGGTAATAATATACATGCATTATAATATGAATGCCCTAACTTTTCTCTTTCAAAATGATGAATTGATAACAATTTATCTTTTTTGCTAGTAGGTCAAACTTCTAGGTCACATGTAAAAAAAAACCCATGCCATTCTCACAGGTAAATACTAGTACATAAGTTTAATATGAATGCCTTGTCTCTTCTCATTCAGTAGATATGACCGTGATGACCAAGGTTAAATTTATTGAGACAGATGGACAGTCTGACATACAAATGTACATATTTCTTTATGAATTGGGTAAAATTGGCCCAGTGGTTCTAGAGAAGTTAAAAATGTAAAAAGTTTTCAGACAAACAGATGGACAACACGTCACAACAGACGTTAAATGATAAGGAAACCGGAAAAACTCAAATGAGTGTTTTGAAAGGGTTACAATATGGTTACAGTATTTGAAAAGCTGTTTTTTTCTTGCAGAGATATGCATGACCAACATATTCATGTTTTATATTTTCATTAGTAATTTGTTTGTTTGTTGTGAATACATCTCTCTCGGGAATTTTTCCCTCATATGGAGACACCACCAAATAATAATGAAGACAAGATGTGTTTGTGAAACACTGATGCCCCTGTATGGAAGCCTATGGCGAAGGTTGAAGTTTCTCAAATATATGTCAAACTCAAAGGTCAAGGTCAAATGGTTCAAATTGTTGGTATCAGAAGAAAGTATTGTCACAAGGAATATACATGTGAAATAAGTCATCCCTAGTACTTCCTGTTCAAAAGTTAATTGCCAAGGTTAAAGTTTTTTTAAAGTGGTTCAAACTCTAGGGTCAAGGTCAAACAAATTTATACCTGTTGACAGTTCACAATGAATACACATGTTAAGCATGAAAGCCCTAGCACCTACTGATAAAAATTTAGGCCAAATTTAAAGTTTATTTTTCTTGTAAAAATGTGTAGAAATCCTAGGTCAAGCGGTCAAGAGGTCAAAATAAAAGGTCTTGTCACAAGAAATAAACCTAAAAAATGTGGAAGCCATGTGTATAGCCCATCCCACTTAAAACTTATGGGCAAGGTTAAAGTTTCTGCAGACAAATAGACACTAGACAGATATAATATAAACACAAGAAACAAAATATGTATAATTAGTCAAAAGGGAAAAAATCTACTTTTTAATTGGAATCACAAAATAGATTGTTATTTAAGATTCAGGGGGTGGCTAGGGAGATTGGACCCCCCCCCCCCCCATGGAATTGGCTTTGTTATTTAAACAAGACTATATATATATATATATATATATATATATATATATATATATATATATATATATATATATATGAAGCAAATAAAAAATGACTTTGGACATCCTCCCCCTAACTTAGAAAACATTGACCCCACTATCATTGTTTTTATTTTGTTTATTTGTTTTCAGTTTTTTTTTCTCCTGGGCTGGATTTTTTTGACTGAGATGTGAACCCCTCTTCCCACTCCCGAAAAAAAAATTGTGGATCTACACCAGTATTGGCAGTAACTGAATGTCACACCGACAACGGGAGATAACTTCGCAATATGAAATTCGTCTAGTGTAGCATGCGATGATCTTTGACCCTTTTTTAACTTAAACCTAATCGTTTGGGCTTATTTTACCCCCACTATACTTAAACTTGTACTTACCGACTGTCATAGGTCTTGTCAACTTCATGAAATATAATCCAATTATAACACAAAATGAATTAATCCAATGCACACCAGACTGCAGCATGTGTTGTTGCTGTACCATTCGGCAAATCTTCGTCGATTCCGTCACCTTAACAGATGAAGTGGGAATCGGCCGAGGTGTGCCGAATGGTGTTTAATCTAAAAAATATGATAATATAGGTGACGCAACCCAATGTGATGTAGAAATTTTTCCAAAGGTGTATACATGTTAACATGTATAGTACAAGAACAAATTTTAAAGAAAGGCTTGGAAGGTTTTACAATTTAACATAGTTCGATAGTCATTTTAATTACGAGTAAAATGATACAAAGCGTAACTTCTATCTCTCACGCTGATTAGAGATATTACCAAAAATAGCTCAGTTCACACCTGAGAGCTCGCACTGAAATCGGCCGTATACCGGAAGTGACGTTCGTGACGTCACAAGTGTGACATGCAGAATTTCACGGAGTGATCGATGTCGAAGAAAAGAACAGGGAAATTTTGCGTTGCAGCGGGCTGCACATCAACACACAAGGATAATGTGTCCTTACATGATTTCCCCAAGGAATCGAAAAGACCAGATATCCGTCGGCAGTGGATTGCTTTTGTTAAAACGAAACGAAAAGATTTCACCAGTCCCACCCCTCATTCTGTGCTCTGCGAGAAACATTTCGCCGTTCACTGCTACCCCATGGAATATATGATTAAGAGGTCTATCGGTATGGAAGTAAAGAAAAAGTCACTTTTGCCCGATGCTGTACCCACTATTCATCTGATCGGAACAGTGAATCCTCTGTTAGGAAAGAGATCTTCTTCAGATGTAGATGCTCCAACAACATCGCGTCCATCGCAACAGAAGAAAATTCGATCTGCTTTTCTTAAACGGGAATGCTTTAGGGTAAGTTCAAAAAGTTAAATGGCTATTCCTTTATGTAAATATAATTATTTGAAATGCGATTGTTTTCAACATTTGTTTACATGCGTGTATTGTCAGTAGCCCCCCCCCCCGGCCTTTCTATGAATTTTGAAGTTTATACATGTGCATGTTAGACGTGTAATAAAAGCACCAAAAGTTGATTTATATCAACTTACAGTGCCCATGGATCCATCGACTATGATTATCAAATTTGTAAAAGCTGAGTGAGGCAAATTTTAATTATCAAGCTCTATATATTTTTTTTATTTGTTGACAGGCTGTGGAATCTCAGCAATCACAACATAATGAACATGAACATGTGCAGTGTAAAGAAAATGAATCCCACTCACAGACAGACTGTATTAAACCAGATGATCAGGAAATTTATCAGGTAATCCAAGATTTTGATGATGATTTCCAGTCATAATTAAAATTGATTTTTGATAATGACTAAAATTCATCATTTTTATAGAATACTATAATGAAAAACAGTCATATTTTTAGTTTAGAATTTATTTTAGAAAACAGAGTAACTTTTGAAATTAAATAGGACTGTATTTCATAATTTTATTTTATCAAATTGTTAGGCCTGGGGCATGGGCACACGTACAAATTATCTTGTTAGCTACTTTTTATCTTGTCTTAAATTTTCTCATATTGTATGTTTAAGTTTTTGTATGCATCTGATTTTTTCAAATTATAATTCCTCACTTGTCTTTTAATATTTAGATTGCAACAAGAAGTATTGGACTTCAGATAAGCGAGAGCAAGAATGTGTCATCAAAGCGATCAAAGAGATGCCAAACTAATATAAAAAAATCAGACAAAGGTAACAAGGGGGCATGTACCGTATAAGTAGATTTTTTTTTTTTAGCAAGGACTTAATTTTGGCATTATTAGCGAGGATGCCAAGATCACTAGAATTGAATAACGCTCAAAATTATCTGCGTTTTATTTGTAATAGCTTCTTTATATGTACTTTTGTAGTGATTTTTTTTTCAATGCATCTTGTACTATTGCATACACATATAATGATGACCCCATGTAGTTTGATCTACTTCTTCACTTGGCACATAAAATGTTAGTAATTGATATTGTTGTCGCTGGCTTAAATTCACTAAACTCAGTCAATATATCTAGATCTGGGGCCATAAAACATAAACAAGCTCACTTTTAATCTTGTTCTCACTTTAATTTAATACACGATTGTAACTTTATTCATGGATTAAGTGATTCAAATTCAATGGAATTAAGGACAGTGGGCTTAAAATTTGTATACTTTGATTGATAGTTCATAATTATTGTATGATCTTAATAACAGTGTATGATTTAAAAAAAAACTATTATCTTACTTAGTTTTGTTTTTATATTAATGTCCTGTAGTTACTCAAGTAAATATGGACAAAAACCTGAAGTTAACCTCAACTGGAATCCAGTGCAACAGAGATCTAGAGGATGGTATTGGAAAACAGCATCCATGTCAAAAAAAGATGAAGCAGACCCCACTGAAGTTTTCAGTGCATGATGACTCTATTGATGAATATTCATCAGAAGTAGACGAAAAAGACCCTGACTTTGAACCAAATTTTTCTGATGACTGTCAGTCTAACTCATCAATAAATGAAAAGTAAGCTGTACAATATATTTTGGAAAATTACCATTTCCTTATACATGTACATGTATTTTTATCACTTGCATATACATGTATATACATAACAATGAGAATAATATCAAAGTAAGTACTTTTAAAATATTTAATTTTTTTTTAATGTAAAGTACACAGGACATAATAATGATTATGCATATATCATTGACGTCAACCTAAAATTAAAAAAAACAGAAACCAAAAATACCCATGTCAACCTAAATTAAAAATAAAATCAAAACAAAAAAACCTATGAAATCAATCACATATGTATATTTAATACTACATTAGTGTATTACATGCATGTAATTTAAACTGAATTAATACAATTATCCGGCTTTAATCAATATGAATTAATTTTAATCATGCTAAAATATCTAATGACTCTATTGAGGCAAGAAATTTTTTTTTTTTAAAAATCACTAAATTTGTCAGTCGCTAAAAATTAACATGTAACCCATTATAGGATAATTGCGATATGTTCTTCATTTGCTCTACATGAATTTTTTTTTTTATCTATAAATGGATTTTACAGTTATCAACCATGGAAAGATAGGAAGTTCATTGTGTTTGAATCAAGGCTATTGGAACTGTTTCAATTTTGTCCATCTTGTTCTGCACCTGCTTTATTTGACGTGAAGAGAACTGTTGGATCAATGGTTAAAATAGAACAGGCTTGTGGTGGATGTGGCTTCAACAGAATATGGGAGAGTCAGCCCATGATAGGATCTGTACCAGCAGGAAATCTGATTTTCTCTGCAGCTCTTCTCTTTACTGGTAATGACTCATAACTTAGTAATGTTTTAAAATACAAAGTTGAATTTGGTATACACTGTAGCATATATTAAAAGTTTTATATACGTATGATTTAATAAACATTCACCATTTTTATAGGATTACTTCCCTCTAAAACCATCCGGTTCATGGAACAGATGAATGTCTCATGTATCTCCTCCAATACTTTTTTCCAACACCAAAAGTATTATTTACATCCATCTATTTGTTCGGTGTGGAGGACCTTCCAAGAAAATTACTTCACACAAATGGCTGCCAGTGGGAAGGCTTTAACCCTAGGAGGTGATGGTAGAGCAGACACCCCAGGTCATTCTGCCAAGTATGGGAGCTATGGTTTGCTGGATCTAGACCTTATGATTGTAATACATATAGAACTAGTGCAAGTGAGTTTTAAGCGTTCTGATGGAAATTTAAATTAGTTTCATGGAAAAAAAAATGAAAGAAAATATCACTTTATTTATTTATTGTACATAATATATTTTAGAGTAATGAAGTAAAAAGCAGCTACCATATGGAAAAAGAAGGTTTTGTACGAAGCATCAACCTTGTACAAAGTAAAGGACTAAAAATCGGGGAGATTGTGACAGACCGCCATGTTCAAATTGTCAAGTATGCCCGAGAGGAATTGCCGAACACCAAACATTATTTTGATGTGTGGCATGTAGCTAAAGGTTAGGTTAAAGCTTTTGTTATTTTAGCATAGACTTAATATATATTTATTCTAAATTTTCACATCTTTTTTCACTGGATCCATTGAGTTTGAAATACCATGGTTTGATTGTATTTTTTTTAGGACTGAAGAAAAAACTAGTGGCTTTATCCAAGGAAAAGAACTGTGAAGCATTGCAGCCATGGATCCGTAGCATGTGCAATCACCTTTACTGGGTACCTGCCTCAACACCAAGTGGTAATGGTCAGTTAATGCTGGAAAAATGGGAGTCGATTGTCAACCATGTCCAAAACATACACGAACACGATGGGCAGTTATACACTGAGTGCTCACATGGACCACTGGAGGGAAGAGAACGACAAAAGAAATGGCTCATTCCTGGTAATAAATCATTATAAATTTTTATTGTGACCTTCATTGAATTTAATATGCAGTCAATATAATGAATAGAATTATTTCCATACATATGTAGGAAGCAAAGCTGCAGAAAAATTTTCTGATATTGCCACTTCAAAGCAAATGAAGAAGGATGTTCAGAAATTATCTCCAGGTGCACAGACTGCATCGTTGGAAGGTTATCACGCTGTTGTTAACCATTTTGCACCCAAAATGATTGGGTTTTCATATCATGGGATGAAGTCAAGGTAAAAAAAAACAAAACAACAACAATTCGCTTTCTTTTTGTGAAAACTGATGTGTAGTGAAACATGAGGTACAGTATTTATTTACGTGATACAATAAATCTTCCACTTTCTAGAATCATATTAGCAGCTCTTCATTTTAATGAAAATGCCATGAGAGAACAGGCCTCCACGAAAGAGGGAAGGAAAAGATATGATGTCATATTCCCCAAATTCAAAAAAGGGGAATATTCTGTTAGAGAAGTAAAAGTCAACTGCACATATGGTATGTACACAAGCTTTTTTGCTTTAATTTATCATTAAGATGTGTAAAGAATGATGTTTGACTGTATCTGCACAAAATCATTTATTTGCAGGTTACATTGACAAATTAATGAAAGTGGTCATCACTTCAGCAGAGGATCAGACCATGAACTCCAGTGGTATCAAGCTGAACGATGTTCCTCCTCCACTTTGCAGTGCTTATGAAAGACCAAATAAAGAGACTGCTATTCAAGAAAAACTTTCAAGATTTTCTAGTCATGATGCTTTAGTCGACCAAGATAATGCATGTTTAGAGAAGTAATTCATTGATTGATTGATTTTATGTTGTTTAACATCCCTCTCGAGAATTTTTCACTCATATGGAGATGCCACCACTTGCCAGTGGAAGGCTACATATTTCGTCCTATGCTCGGCAATCAGGGCCTTTGAGCAGCGAGGGATCTTTTTCGTGCCAGCACCTACTGCGACACGGGTCCACGGTTTATATGGTCTCATCTGAAGAAGAACTTTTCTCCACGTCCCGCAGTGGGATTGGAACCCGCGGCCTAAGGATTGACTCTTTACTTCGCGACTCTACAGCAGACGCTCTAACCACTGCGCCACGTGGGCGACTAATTATAATCCATTGAAGAGGCTTGACTGTACATGTATTCAATTTATTTAACTTGTAATTATCAGAGAATGTTTATTGTTGTTTAAATCCAGTGTAATTTTCAGAATTAGTTGGAAAAGTGTTCCGGATACAGTTCACAGCACATGATGGTAAAACAACTCGGATCTTTTTTCCAAGATACCCCCACGCCCACCTTGCTAATTGTCTATAGGCTGTATATCTGTATTTTCTGAAAAAGAGAGAGGAGTATTTTAAAGTCACATCTACATTTGAACTCTTTTATTTCAAATACATGTACCAATATCTTGAATGCAAGATACCTGGGGGATATGTTAAAGTGAGTTGACTTACATGTATGTATATGTTTTATTGTTTCAAATACTCTGAGCCTCATAAAGCCAATATTTTGAAATAGTCCTCTATAGTACCACATAGTTTTATTTTTGCACATGTAAATATGATACTGCAATTTTTTAAGAATTAAGATGTGTTCAGTGTTCTTTGGTTTATGACCCAGAAAATACAATGTACAATATGTGTTGATTGAGTTTTGAAACTATACATGTAATTAAAATTCATGAATGATATTTTTTTATTTGGTTGTTGCAAGACTCCTAGATAATTTAAGGTTTATCCTTAAAAGATTTTTAAGGTTTGATGATTTGATTTATAATAAGAAAATGCCAAGTTTAACTTGGACTAAATTTGAAGACATTAACTCAAATTAAAATGACATGATTTATGGTAAACTTGATAAACTGATTATAATTATATGGTATTGTATTTATGAAATATAAAGATTGGACTGATAATCCTGAAAGATTCGTGTAATTTGTAGTAAGATGCGTGCAAGAAATATTGCATATTACTAATTACTCTGAAGAATCTTCAATATTTTCCCCATACTGCTGTTTATATTGGTAATACGCTATTTGGAGGACATATTTGTTTAAACAGGCTGGTGCAAATCCAGGGTGGCTAGTTATACAGGTAATGCCTTGGTCTTCCTCAAAAATGGACTTAACATTTTCCACCTCATGGCAGCAGACAGATTCCTGTGCAGTGGGCATTATAGAACAATTTCCACACTTGCACCTACAAAATATTTACATATGCTGTTATGCAATTCAATAAAATTGCTGTCATTTAAAATTTAATTGTCAGACTAATTTTCAAAAAGCATGCATTCGAGTTCACTGGAGGGGGGGGTCAAATCATTGCAATAAATTAAAAATAACGACAATGAAAATTATTAATGAAAGTGTACGAAAAAGAATGGTTTCCCACAACAACAGAAAAAAAATGAGCGCTAAAATTAAAATCTGTAGGGACTAACCTTGTATTCATCTGTTCATGCCCTCGATCAGCTGATTTTAGTCATATTAATTAGCTTTAGGGTGGGGGATAAATGGGTGTCGAATTATGTTTTTATTTCATATATTTTTCTAAAATAATTATTAAAATGCTTCTTGTGAATATTTTCTATCGTTTTACTCACATACCAATCAATAGTATGCAAACGGTTTGCTTCCTCGGGTCCCGCATCGTTCGTGGTAGGCCTAGATTCTTCTTCGTCTGAGGGTTCACTAACGTAGGGCTCAAAACGAAAGGGTTCTACTCCCACATTTTCTGTATTATTGCACAGCAATGAGTCCTCGTCAAAACTTGAAGATCCACAAGAAAGATCTAACAATTCTTCCTCTAAGGAACAATTAGCCGAAACAACGCTTTCAGACATTATCCGTCTATCACTTGATGGAAGCGAGACACACTTGTGACGTCACTGAGCTTGATTGCATTTAAACCGGAAGTGACATTATCAAAGATTCTCGATCGTTTTCACAGGTGCAAATGCAGACACTCAACAGTGATTATCTTTGAAACGGCGGTACCGATTTTAGTAGGATTTTCGCCAAAATGTTTTATTAAGCAGGTCTAGTGAATTACGTTTATGAGTAAAAGTACCGTGGCCTATCTTTAAATTAATTCATAACAAACGATGTTTAAACAAAACTTTTCCATCTAGCCTATTCCAAAAAAGTATGTGCTGTGTGTTTGTGGTGTCTAAGGGAGGGGGGATTAGTAAATTTAAAAAGGTCGTATTATGAGCAAAACATTTATCAAAATATAATTTACATCATTAAATACGAGGGTTGATCCAAAAGTTCGTGGAATTTCTTTCTAAAATTTTATCGTGATTTGATGAAATCAATCAAGAGGCATATTTATAAAATAGATTCATAATGCAACAATACTGGAAAATTTCACCACTTTCCAATTACCAATAAGGTCACACGAGCTTTCTAAAAATGGATAGTTGGGAAACCCGGGGGAGACTTCGACGTAACGTCAAGTTAGATATGTCACGTCACGTTATAGAAGCATATCACCCAAATGTCCAATTATAATATGTAATTCTACAAAATGCTGCTTTTTTCTCCTTTTTTTCTCGTAAGAAAAGGCTGGGTATCCTCTTGCATCAACTTATCTTAATTTTTTACTCATATTTCAAAAAACTACCCATCTTTCCATATGATGTTCCAATTTCAGTAGCAATGTCAAGAACAGTACGGTAGCCGACAACGCCAATTAACGCTTTTAATTTGTCTAGGGGGATACGTACCTAAATATAGCCTCTAAAAAGCGACCACATCTTTTATCAACGTCCATTGAAGTTCTTTTTTTCTTAAAATTCTTATGCCACTGGAAAACCAGTAACTAAATGCATTTTTCCCAAGCCTTTGTCAATAATATTCGCGTTTAAGATAGAGTGATCCCGGGATTTTCACAAAACGTGTGACTTGACCGAAATTTGACGTTATCTAACAACTTAGAGATGGACAATAAACCATCAACTTATAAACTAAACATCCAGTAAAATCAGTAAAACTCTCACACAAAGGTTTATAAAAGATCAAGCAATCGTTATAATGACATAGTTTTCGTTTTATATACCACATAGGGCGGTTTAAATCTTATTTCACGAATTAAGAATTTAAATAATGATAAACGCGTTAATGTCTCCCCCGCATATCCAAACAACCGTTTCTATGGCAACTGCCATAAAGTTATTATCAAAGATATTTAAAATGTTTTTTAATTTAAAATATTCATCAGGTGTCTATATTTTCATTTGTAATTTTCAACCAATTCCACGGAAAAATAAATGAATTATGAAGAAATTCCACGAACTTTTGGATCAACCCTCGTAAATACAAACTGGTAATGAATTAAGCATGTAAAATACATGTAAGAGGTTCTGAGTCATAGGTCACAGGGTCACAGGGTCTGAGAATTTCATACTCAATTTGACGAATACATGTTCTGTGTAAATTATAGAATTATTTTGACTTTTTCCTTGGAAAGCTGCCCAATATGTAGAAGTGTGTATTTAGAGGCAAACACATTAGTGGGGTATTACTGTCTCATGACAGCATATAGTTTACTTATGAAATTTGTAATTTTCTGAAAGTGTATACATTTATAAGTATGAAAAAAATTCCAAATCCTATAGGAAAATTTTAACAAGTCTGTTTTTGAAGAGATGCGCCGTATTGTCACTTTAAAAGTGTAAATGTGAGACTTACAATGTAGATCAAAAGGCTGGCTTATTAAAACTATACCTGTATTTTCGCTCCTCTACTATATGCTTCAATACAATTAAAATTAGAGTGAGAATACAAGTCTAATTTTAATTTGATTGATCAAAAGTGAGCTCGTGTAGTTTTGTGGCTCGCAGCCAGTACGATTTTTTTCGTTGTGGCAAAGTTAAAATCTACAGATTCCTAAGATACGAATTGTTCGTATGTTATTAAAGGCTGTCTGTAAGTATAATTTGATGCTGCGTTTAAGAATTTTTGGTATGTCTTAGGTAATAGACGAAAAAAATATGGTTTTGTCTAAATCTAACATATTGTTTAAATCCAGTACTAGTTAAAAATATTGCTTTTAATTTTAAGTCTGATCTACAATGAAGCACAACATGGCATTCATCCTCTACACTATTTGAAGAACATAAATTACAGAGTCTATCAAACAGAGCCCTCCCCTTATACCGTCTTGTTTCAATTCTTATAGGTAGCACACCGCTTTAAAATTGCACAAGTATAGAACGATCGCACTTTGCAATGTCCATAGTAACATATTTCTCTATTTGAAAATCACTCTTAATGGATCGGAAGGTTCTAGATGTTTGGACGCTTTGAAGTTCTTCATTCCAGAGTGTTAAACAATTTCCACGGAGTTATTTTTTTTGTTCCAATACGTTCTTTTAATTAAAAGTCATGTTCGTAACATTTTTTTATCCAATTTCTGATTGTTTTTAGAACATATTTTTGAGTATGTACCTTCGTATACTGGAATATGCATGGCAGATCATATAATTTCATCGACTTTAACTTCATTCTGTAAGGTGTTCCTTCAAGTCTGGAAAATGAAACAAGTCCAAGGGTGAAAGAATTGACAAATATTGTTGGTGTGACAAAATATTAACTTTCTGTTTATACCCAAAACTCCTTTACTTTTCAGGACGTGTGGGTTTGGACGCTGTCATGAAGAAATTTAATGTAGTGGATTCCTGATACTGGTTATTTCTCATAAACCTTTTGATTTTTTTTTTTTTTTTTTTTTTTTTTTGCAAAGATTTTGTTTTCTAGACTCCTCCAGAAATTGAGCTGCCTCCCCAAATAAGAATTTGAGCAAGAAGACCACTAATGTTTAAGAAAATGGCATATAAAACTGTCTTTGTGCTCTTGCTATTCTTTGCTTTTCTCATACCTTTGCTGTTGTTGTCAAGTGCATCTTATTGTTAATTTGTTTTGAGGGTTTAAAGCAATGGATTCAAGTTTCATTATCAGGTGCATTTTAAAAACCACATAGTTATTCATGATTTTAAATAATATTATTTTCTTTTTATGCATTTTATTACAATTTATTTATAGGAATACGTATGAAGGACACGTGTGCAAAATTTTGTTGATCTATCTTTAACAGATTTTAAGAAATTGCAAAAAATGCACCCCAAAAATGTCTTTTTTCAGCGTTATGCGGTTGCAATTTAAAATTACAGCATATTGCAATTGAAATAATTGTTAATTATCATATATTTTCATGCAATTGATCATTATCAGAATTTGGAGATTTTATTACAAATTATTTTGGTGCATTTTCAGAATCTAATCAAAACTTTTGAAGATATGAAAGAAAATGTAATAGGGGTGCAATGTTATACATTTTCACTTTTTACCTCTCTCTTTATGCCAAATAAAAATAATATCCACATCATTTATTTTTTTCATATTTTTGTCTAAAATTGCAATATAAATGCTCTGTTACTTACAGAAAATAAATTGGGTCATGTAACTCTTGTAATGAAATGTCATCATGCTTTTATGTTGAAAATTGAGATTTTACAAAAATCTGTAGTGTCCGTAACCACTAAAATTCTGTGAAATTGGAAGGCTCTATAAATATATTAATTAATTCTATAGAAATGCATTTCATTTAGATGCTAAGATGTGTTGTAATTTTCCTGATCATTACCACTGTTTCTCTGGTATTATCACAAATTTGGTTACGGACACTACAAAATCCTATAGTGTCCGTAACCTGTATTTTAGTCAGTTTGAAACTGCCTGTCTTAAAACGAACAAATACTATGTCTTTATTTTTTACATTGTTTAAGTTAACTGGTGTTACATTTAACACAATCTTGTTGGAATTCCTCTTCTTAAGGTTAATTTTCATCCTAATTCAAATAACTTGTAGAGTGTGTAGTGTCCGTAACCAAAAGTTGAAAAATTAAATCTTGGTATTTTTTCCCAAAAAAAATTTACACAAATTTTTGAAGCAGTTTATTGTTAAATTTAGAGAGAAAAGGGGTGTTTTTTTAACTGGAATTAATTCAGATCACATGCTTTTTTTCTTTACTACAAGTACTAAAATAATGAATGGACACCAACAATGACGAAAAATATATGGAAAAATTATTACAATGAGTTAAATAACCCATATTTCTTGTTTCTCTTGCTCCAGTTGTCTAGTTGCTTATTAGAAAATACCTTACAATGTG